CCAACCTCGATTTGCTAGCAAATGTGATCATTTTGTCCACTGCCAAAAAAAACATGAAATAAAAGCTTGTTTTAAATGTCAACTATATTGTTCAAGTCATCCTAGTACTTTAGTTAAACTTTGAGACAATAGACAAAATTGGGTAACATGATTACACCATACACGAGATTAGTGAGCCAAAAGGCAACTTTGGTTAGAGTTTGATGAGCAGCAGCTCATTTAACGTCCAAGACCGCATATCAACTGATTGTAGTGACAAATGATTGCAAGCTAATCGGAGTTGGGTAACTTTATCACATCAAATTAAAGATAAGCGACGAGATCCACAAGAAAATAGATGTTGGATGACCTTATTGCACGAAATTAAAGATAATTGACTTTAATGCCAATCCGCTTAAACTTTGATGGCTTGTAGTGTATTTAAGAATACATTTGATATAAGTAGAATCATATCTTTGGAAGCCAAAAAACCGTCATATGCATGCTTATATGGGAAAATTTAAAGTAATGACAACCAGTCTACATGATAGTAATATTATTGTCATATAGTCTTATAAATAAAAACTCCATTAGATAATGTGATGATGCTCATGTTGTACTATTCATAACGAGATGAATAACATTACCCATTAATAAAAACGACAGGCTTGCTAACTTAGGGCTGAAATGTCAAAGTTCTTACTTTGATCAAAGAACGTATCATCTGAATTAATATGACCAATTAATATACATGCAACTCAAAAAAAAAGGAAAGAAAAATATTACATGGCAAGTCGTTAGTGACTTGATTCCATCGTGTACAGAGTGATGTAGAACACATGGATGAATGTTTTAAGAAGACTTTGATCGAAAATGAAAAAAAAATGTAATAGTACTGGTGTGGCAGTCGAACTCCAATTTGAACCTATAATACCATTCTGAAAAGATAATGACAAAAAGAGTAGAACTTACATTGTTACATATGATAGATTCTGGCCATCCGAGTTCGTTTAGAACTCGAAAACTGCATTTAAAATTTTAGTGCTATTTTTGTTATTTAGTTTATTTTGAATTCTTTTCAATTTTATTTTGTTTGAATTAGGTTTTCATGTAAACCCTTATAAATAAAAGGTTAATTCATTATTTTTTGTCATTTTCAATTAATAAATTCGTGAGTTTATTTTTTTCATAATTTGTTGGATTACAAAATTTCGTATTCATAAGATTTTCATTTGAATTTCTTTTTTCGCACGGCGCTAGAAAGTCTTTCATTTAAAAAAAAAAAAATGGTATTGTAGCATCGTATATATAGAGACCCTTGTTTTGGTTAATATTTCTTTAAACCAGATGACCCCTTCAACAAGTAGATTGAGATCTAATGATCTCGCTTAGACAAAAGATGGATTATATAAAAATAAAAATAAGAATTGATTAACATTTTTTTTTTTTTTAATCCTTTCAAGTCCGAATAAAAACAAAGAAGCAGAATACAAAATTCAAAAGTCAATATTCTTTTGGAAGCATCTCTTCAACTTTTCAACCAAGTTCTGATCCCTTCCCCCACGTTGCCCCGTAAGTAACGTTAACCTCTTTCAAGCTGATGGATCTCACTAAACATGCATGATTAAGACCGAACACGTACATTGAGTTTGAATCAATAAAAAATTGTAAGAGAGGAAAATTGTGAGTGAATTCAGATTTATTTTTCAAATTGTTTACATCTTTCTTCCCGTGTTTTTCCATTGCACTTTTACTGTGACCGCTGTTGAAAAAACGCAATTATTTATTTAACTTTAATATAAATACATATGCTCTTGGATGTGGAACCTTGCAAAACTTCACCACTCTTCTCTGTCTTTCCAATTATATATTTGAGTATCGAAAAACATAAATGTGTAGGCATACTAAGCTCTTTGTATTTCTTCTGATTATCATCGCCATGCCTTGGGACAAGAAAGGAAGCCTTCAAGCAGTATCTACCATGAAAAAGCAGCCAAGTAAGAATTAAGCCAACTCGAGCCCCACTCCCTGGATCTTAAAGTGCAAACGAGCATGGGTTTACGCCCCCGAGTCGAATGTATTATATTATATTCTCGATTATTTGTCTCGTACTAATCTTTTCATATGTATTTTTCTAGATTATTCGAAGATGTTTTCGACCCTAGGATTGGTTTGCACTTGTTGCGACCACGACCATGGAAGAGGTGATCAGTGCAAAAGCTCATGGGAGGGGACTTGCTCTAAGATCAAATGTCTGCCATGGAAACATCATTAAATATTTGTGGGAATTCAGTTGATTACTTGATCTTAAATAAGTGCATGAAGATGTAGGTTACATATAAACAAGGCAGCTATGCTTCTTAAATCTTTACATTAATTTAGTCATGCTTTATGATAACTTTGTAATGATAAAATTGTGATCTTAAGTTGTTACACACGATAGTATGTGTGTTTTAATAATATTCTGAAAGGAATATTTTAATCAGTAAATGAATTATTATTAGAAAAAAATCTTTGTTAAGAATTCTATTAATAAATAAACATAGTCATTATTCGGTGGGGATTAAACTCAAATTTTTAGTAAATTTTAATAGAAGTTGAAGAAATTATGGTTAAAATTAATTATTGACTTTAATTAATTTGAATTAAAATCTTGATTTTAATTTTTACAAAATATGGGCACAATTTGTAGCCAAGAATATTGTCAATGTCAACATTATGAATAAGTTACAATATGGTCTCATCTCAAATTAATTTATCGAGAGAAAAAGAAAAGACTTAAACTTAATTTATATTTTTTTAAAGATGGTCTTAATGCCCATAGCAAGGTATTTGATCAATGAACTTACTCACTATCGATAGATGGATATATTAACGCTTACAATTTTCTTGGTCTCTTAACCTAATTTCGTATAGTGGCATGCGCGGCTCATTATGAAAATTAGAAAGTTTATATGATTTCATTACACTAAACAAAATGATTTTTTCACATGGGACTGACAGGTCCCTCACAAAGGGACAAGCCCCACATGCATAATAATAATAATAATAATAATAATAATAATAACAACAATAACGAGGGCCCCACTCATGTGTGTTGCCTGGCATGAACCTGTGAAAAAGATCTCTGTACTTGCAGCATAACCCATATTTTATTATGTGAATGTATAATTGAAAATAATTACGCGGAATAAAGAGTTTTGAAATAATGATTATCGAACATGAGCTAAATTTAGTAGTTAAACATCTTTAATTACTACTTATTAATATCCACAAATTTTGTGGAATCCGTTATTATTCATCTTTATAAATCATTTGTAAGCTTATCAAACTGAGGCTTATTAATAACAAAGAAATAACATTCAATTTTTGTTCTCATAACAAAGAAATCAATTGTAAGCAGTGTCACATAGATTGGTACTAATCAGATAGTATTATTCATAATAAAATACTAAATAAAAGAACATAATGTGATTATTGGTGCTTTAAAATGGTTGGAATTGGAGCAAACTACATGGGAACATGGAAAATTTAAGCATCTTTTGTTCCACGTGCCAAATCTAATCAAATGTTCTCTCTATATGTATACGCTTGAGCAGGAATCTACAAAGGAAATATACGGAAGCACAAAACCAATGTCTTCTTCATAGGCATAGCATGCGTGGTATCTTCTTCAATATCCAAAGAGAAGAATGGAACAATTTAGCCCAACTGTTCGAACAAAAAATTATTATGTGCTTATCCGAATAAAGCAAATTGTGTTTGTCAGTGTGTGAGAGAGAGAGAGAGACCCACAAGAAGATCATTCCAGATAAGTCCATATTTGATGCCCATTATTTTATCAAAATGAGTATTGTGATAATGAATTTTTGGAGAACGTGTAGTTAAAAAGTAGGAAAAAAATTAAAATTTATGTGTAAAATATTTTATTGTGAAAATGTGCAGTTAAAAATAAATTTGAAAAAAAAAAGTTCTGAAATAATGAAAATCAAACATGGACTAAGTTCCACTCTCTATGTATATAAATATTTTCTATATGTATTATATGTCACTACACAGATATTTAGGTCAAACAAGATGATGAAGCGAAAATAAATTGATAACCATACCATAGAGAGCCTAAAAGGAGCCACATTAATTAATTATATATATTCGGCAAAAAATATTTTTTTACCATTTAAACTTTTAAAATGAAATAGTTAACATAGTATTTTTCAAGTCTCATCATAAGAAACTAATACACCGAGTCTTCTCTTTAATAGGTTTTTTAAAATAATATGATACGAAACACATATTTTATGGTACATGACAACAAATGACAACGTTGTTACTGGGACGTTAATATTTACAAAGTACACTAGCTTGAAAGATGACCAATTGGAGGTTGAAATTGTGAATTGAGGGAGGCTTGACTTGAGGGAAAGTGTGAAGGAATAGAATCTCACATCGAATAAAGATGTAAAAATAAACCAACTTATAAAGGATTGAATTATTCCTCTTAATAATGTTGACATTTTAAGATGGAACCCCATTTCTTAACATGGTATCAGAATCCATTAAGTTCTAACGAGCAATTCGATCCGGTTAAGACTCCAAAAGTGAACATACGGATTCCAAGATTGGTCTGCTCAAACGGGCCACTATCTTGCAGGGGCATGTTAAGGGATAGAATCTCACATCGAATAAAAATGTAAAAATAAATCAACTTATAAAAGATTGAGTTAATCATCTTAATAAGATTGATCTTTTAAGATGGAACCCAAATTTTTAACAGACAGGACATTGGACATGGACGAATACAATTTTGATTGGTTGCTGGGCCTATAAATAGCAGTGACCATTTCATTTCCTTGCATGCACACTGACGACTTCACGTGCTCCACCTTTCTCTTATTCACTTTGTGTTTTCTCAGAATCCTATCTTTCCATTTCAAGATTTAGGTTTGTGTTTCGGTTAAGGAAAAGCTATCTAAATGTAATTGAAGGTAGTTTTATTCGTTGCTTGATAAAGAAAGCATAATATGGAGAAGGCAAAGCAAGCAGGTGGTTTATCTTCGTCCATTACTATGGATGATCTCTTTGGTCTCGGAATCTCTTCAAAATCTTCATCCTCATCTACTACCCTCTTTGGATCTATTTTTGGGCCACCTCCTCCCGCGGTATGGTTCCTTTTTTCTTTCTTAATTTGTTGCATATTTTCTTTAATAGTTGACTAGATGTCAGTAACTGAACGTTGAAAACTCAAACACATCGTGTATATTTGTTCCTCTAATCTATTGGAGCTCGGAACATATAGTTTCCTAATAATAAATGGTTAGCTTTGACCTAAAGTCTGGCCTAAATTGTGGCTATGCCTACTTATGAAACAAAAACCCTGCAATATGTTCGAGGGATTTTGCAAGGGACACTCGTCAATATTTCATGGATAGTTGACAAAAAAATAATAAGAAGAAAGAAAAGTTGTCAATCAAGTGTTGCCAGCCCGTACAAGGGGAATAACTGATGAAACAAAGCTGGAATAAGGACTCTCAAAAGTCAAAATCGTGACTTTCTGTGCATATTATTCCACAGTTGCTGCTTTATGACAATTTGGAATTGTGTTATGTATTACCATTATATCATGTTTTATCTTACATGTTTCCTAAGTTGGCGTTATTTTTCAATAAACTTGCTCGATAATTATGTGATATTCATAGCTTATTCGATTTGAAGTAATTTTTTTGGTTTCCTATCTTTAGGTATACGGGAAAAACTCCTCTCATTCCGATATTATAAGTTTATCGGGAAAGAAAGATTTGGAAAGTGAACGGGGAACTTCAGGTTGTCGTTTTTAGCCTTACTGAAGATACATGTTCTTTAGTTAATTCTAACTTATACAGTACTGATATATTTAAGTTTTTGTTATTACTTCTTTTTCCTCAGATTATATGGCCATGGGAGAATTCAAGAAAGACAGGACTTCAGTCGAGGAGAATGGAACAAATATTGAACCGGGTTACTTCAACTCTTCCATATACTATGGTGGCCAAGAAGTTTATTCTCCAACAAGCCAGAAGAACATTGTAAGTATATATTGTGTAAATTGAGCATGTAAGTTAGATTATAGAGATAGCTTATCTTTTTCTCTGGTTTATCAGTTCAAGAAAGATGGAGAAAAATTAGATTCAAATGAAAACGGCTCTCACAGCGCCTCCAGAGGAAATTGGTGGCAGGATAAGATAGTTAATGCAGGATCTCTAATTCTTATCAGGATCTCTATATTACTCAGGTAACTCTTAATGATAACTTTTTCTTCTGTCTTGCTGTAACATTTTTTGTTGAGTTGTTAACTTTCTAATTTCTTTGCTAATTTTACAGGATTATAAGACTAATATATTTAACCTTTGCAACGAGGAACACGAGAAGATTAAAAAGTAGATCCTAACCTGTTGGGAATTTATTTAACATGCACAGCGAAAAATAAATCAAATTTTAATTATCACCATGGATCTGCTCCGTGTTTAGATAGAAACTGTGTTTAGAATAATACATTTGATGAATTCTGTAAACTCCTTTGTTGATTCTCAAACTCCTATGATCACGATCTGCAATCCAAGCGTCCAATTGTCCAGCCTCCAATGGTGATTCACACAGAGAACAAGAATGACGGCTAAGGTTTACTTTTCTTGTGCTAGCAAAAATAATGAAAATTCACTACAATTTTCAAACCCTAGGAGTCTAAAAATATAAGCTCAAGTGGGCTTGACCCATCTCTAAACTTTACGTGATCCGATATTTAATTAATCAAATTAATTAAATCCGGTCCATGAATTAATTAATCCAATTAAATTAATTCGAACATATTAATAAGCAATCCAATTAAAAGTTGATTTTTTCCCAACAGAATCATCTCTTCCTCATCCTGAGGCGCCAGTTTTCATAGGGGCCACAACACTTGCCTCCGATAGGCACCGCCGCTGTCAAACAACGGTAGAACACCACAACTATAATAGCCAACATTGCTTTTGCAGCAGCATCACATGTTGCTGTAGATAGCAGTCGGTGTTGTAGTGATGAGTAGCCACGAGCGCTGTTGCCACAGTAGCTTAGGCGTCATGTCGTGTGAGCTCGGTTGCCAAGAGCCACCAGTGATGATGGCACCACTTGATGCCGGCTACTCCTCCCGATCCAATTTTGAACCCAAAATTATTTACTTTTCAAAAAAAATTGAAGATAATTAAACAATCAACCAATGTTGGAAATTTGCTTTATCATGCACAGCGAAATTTAAACAACTTCAATTCCCACCGAGGATTTTCTTCGTGTTTAGAAAAAAACTATGATAAAAAAAAAAATACTTTTAGTTAATTTTGCAAAGAGCAATTTAGTTAATTTACGGCTATCCAATTGTCCAACCTCCAATGAAAATATACACATTGAACAAGAATGAAAGAATTAAATTATGGTTTCTCTTTTCTTGTACTAGCAATATAATAAATTGGGTGTTATGATTTCTCAAACCTTAACAGATTATTAATAGAAGCCCAAATGGGTTAATCTATTCCAACGTTTAACTAATCTAATTAATTAATTTGATCCAATAATAAGTAACTCAATTAATTAATTGTACAAGTGTCCAATACTTGTCAATTAATTAACTAGTATTATTATTCTTCTAGTGATCCTTCGTGTGTGACCTATTTGGTTTCCGATTACAATGCCTTACAATGTAAATTATTATTTTGATCTAATCAAAATAACATAAATTAAAATACTCTTTTAATTTATTATTAATTCACGTAGATTAATTAATTCACATTTCCCGTACCAAATTGACATCCAACAATGTGTTTGAGCTACACGTGTAATAAAAAATGTCAAAATCAAACTTATTTGCTTACCGCGAAACTATATTCCCTTCGTTAATATTATCATATCAACTATGAGATATGAAGCATGAAAATCTCAATTATCAACCATATCTTTCATCCTACTATTAAGTCAATGTAAGTCGAGAACTATTTTTGACTTATGAGTACACATGGCCCAGAATTTCATTATCAATTTAACTGAATAAAATGTAGATTATAATCTCTTATTGTTTAAGAACGAAGAATCATCTATTGACCATTTACCACTTTCGTACGATTCTTGAGATACCCGAATGATGTCGTATTAGAGACTCTTGACGGAGCAACATCCAATATCACAAAATATGATTGTCCTCGTATAAGGTACTATGATGACATCAACATATAAAATCTCTCCAGTGGGTCTCCAGTATTTTGTTCTCTTAACAAAATATTTGTATGTTCATTTAAGTGTCACTATACTTTAGCTTATGGCATCAACTACATACTTCATAAGTAAGAAATGTCACACGTGATGGTCATCCGTAATAATGATATTCATATCTCATAATTAATTACAACCACAGATGATTTAAGATTCAGTCATATGTAATTTGTATCTCACAATCACAACTTTTTGTGATTAACAAATTACTAATTTAAATATACAAACTCTATTATTAAAATTAATAGAATATTAATTTAATTAAATAATAGATATCGCCATACATATGCATCGATTATATATATATTCAAAGTGTTTATGTCCAAAATTGATTGGACTTAGGGCACAACACTTACATAACCTTGGGATAGTGAACATTGCAACATTTTACATCCCTTTTTACCATTTTATTCATCTGGTTTCTATTTGGCAAGTTTATTACGTGAAATGATCATCATTTAGGAAAAAACTGAAATCCTAAGACCTCTCTCTGAAGATGGATAATAGACTACAAAGTATCAACATTTTTGTCCAGATCTCTTCAGTACTACATGCCAAATGTACTCTTCAGTACTATACCAAGGCGCGCCTTTTATTAATGCCTCATTTTTTATGTAGTACCTTGATATTGTGAATACTCTCAACAACAAATTCTCTAAACACAAAAGGAGAAAATCAAGGTTATGAATAGACAGTTTCGTATTGAAAATAGATCATCCTCATAGATAGCGAAGTATGAAACAGAGATGGTGGATAATGGGGGCCAAAGCCAGACCTGAGGAGAGACCCAAGAGGCCGTCGCCTCAGACCTAACTCTTTAAGGGGCCCAAAAAAAAATTATTTATTTATTTATTTAAAATCGACTAATGTCCCATTCTCAATTTTCCATCGGCCCTTGAAGAAATCAAAACCTAAACGGCTTGAGGCTTCGTCATAAATGACTTAATGGGTTGTTTTTTTTTGGGTGTTTAACGGTTGCGCCACCTCTCGAACACGCCGGAAAATGTTCTTGAAACTTTCAAGAACTTCATCTCTGATCTTTGGCATTTTTCTTCATCGCGCTCAACTAATGGTTTGTCTTCTATCTTTTTACATTACAGATGATATTCAGTTCTTTGTGGGATTTTTTTTTTGTAATTCTAAGTTATGCTTATTTCTTCATTTTCTAGAAGTTTTGCAATTAGACAATCCTTCTCATGATTAATGTACTATGGGAAATTTGAGGGGAAGTATAAAACAAAAAAGTGGATTTAAAGTCTTTGCATAGAGTAAAACAAAAAAGTGGATTTAGGGCCTGTCTGGCCCCGCTTACTCATCATCCATACATAATGAATTGACATGACATATTAATATCATAATAAATAAACATCAATGACTATATATCCATTACCATACTCCAGGCTAGTGACTGAATATAATAAAAAAGGTCACAATCCCTATATTGACATGATTTTGAATTCCTCCATCTTACATCTTACGTAAAGAAAGGGGTCAATATTTATTATATACAGCTCTCTATTCCTATGATTAATTATTATTCTAAGAAATTAGATTTTATTTGGAAATAAAATATTTATGGTATCTTTGAAAATGTCTCGTAAGGAATAATTAATGCAAATATCCCCATGTTAAATTTTATCCCCAAAAAAAAAATTAAAATTGCAATTCAAATAGTGGTGCTTAAGCTAGTGATAAACTCTGATGAGTAAACAGATGGGTAAAATGTGCATAAATGTTGGATTTTGTGTTCGCGTATAAATGTGCATACCACTGATTTTTTTTATAACATTTCAATGTACTAATTAAGTGTGTTGAATTGGATAAATGAGCCAAACTATTGAGCATCTATATATAGAGATAAATGAGGATGTATGCTTTTCACATAGCCTTAACTATTATAGTTCACTTGATCTTCGTTAAGTGGGATCTTGTGACTGCTATGGAGTATTGATTGAGTTTAATGTATAGTGACCGTAGCCTTAATTATATTTGGACCCGACGGGTCCATTTATTAAATACCCGAAAGTTTTGGGTCGGTTCGGGTATCTTCAGAACCGAACCGAACCGACCCATGGACAGCCCTAGTAGCCTTAACTAATGAATTTTTGTTGTAACTGATATAATATAATTGATGGTCATGACTCTTTATATTCAAACACCATAACATAGTATTAATTAATTGTCTGCTTCACAGAATTACAATTTAGGTAGCCAAAATCCAGTGAAGTCCAATTCAAAGCACTTTCCAAACAAAATAATAAAATGCCACTACTGCAACATATTGAATCCAAGCAAAAATAGGCATAAGACAAAAATAAAATAAAAATTAATATTTAAGACATTGCGTGCATTCCCTTTGAACGAAACGAAACGAAACGAAACATACAATATATAGGGTATTACTTAAATCACATTTTGTTATTAATAAAAGTTAACAAAGCAACCCACTATGATCTAATATTAGAAACAGCTGACCTTATAAGCACGTCAACAAAATTCCATAAACCTACCGATGGATGCTTAGAGTGAAGTAACTTAATATTCGTTTCATTGTCTGTAATTAGCCTTGTAAAATAATTGAAGAGAACCTCTCGAAAGCCTAGAACCTACTGTTTTATTGAGATTAAAACAGCAAGCGCTTAAGCAAGTGAACCCACCCAGTAAATCAATTCATAAAATGATATCAGATATTCTAATAAATTCAGAAACCTATAGACTGATAGGCAAATACCATTTTAAACTACTTGCAATACTCAAAACAAATAACAAGGCTCGTTATTGATGTTATCTAATCATTCAAATATTGGTAAATGACCCCAGCCATCTCTGACATCAAACTTGACTTCTCAAGGAACAGCTTGGCCTCTTCGATCCGAAGTTTTTCCAATTTAGCCTCGAAGTATCCGGCGTTGGCACTTCCCATTGACATCCAGCTCTTCTTCAGCATCTCTCCTCCAATATTCATGTCAAAAAAATGATGTACCAGCGGATATCTTGACTCCATATCTGGTTTGAGTTCATCCTGGACAATTTCTTTCTGTTTTTTCAGAATTAGCCTTTTATTTTCTTTATTGGATTCACCCTTCACTCTTGTCCTCTTTCTCGATTTCTTACTGTTTGTTAATACTGTCTTTTCATTGTTTCCCCAAAGTTTCTCCGAAAAGTCGAAAACTATAGCATCATGCGGAGTAGAGAAACTTAGGGGAGCACCTATCTTCTTAGCTTTCTTCAAGTTCCGAAAATATTTTTCTTCGAGTCCCCGAAGTTTTTCAGTTACCTGAATCTTCGTAAATTCCTTGTGAAGCTTGTCTTTGACAAAAATATAAAATTCAGTCTTGTTCTTTTCTCTATGCTCAGACTGAAATTCGATGAGACCACAAAGCAATGTAATAACATCTTCCTCTGTGAAGATCTGGCCGAGGAAAGTAGGGGGTTTCTTCTCATTGGATTCAAGAGGCCTAATGATGTAATTGTTTTGTTTCATACTTTCAAAATTCAAATCCTTTTCGGAGCCCTCTGCAGAAGTTTCTATTTTGGTCTGAGTGTTGTTCTTTGCATTTTCTTCCTCTTTCTGTTGGGGAGGTTCTGTTTCTTGGGGCACAACTTTTGGGCTCTTAACTTGATCTTCTTCAACCAAATTTTCTTCTTCTTTTTCTACTGTTGTTGTTGCTATTTCTTCTTCTACATTCTCTTCAACAGGGAATACTGTACTTTTTGGAAGATTTATTGATTTCTTTTTTCTCTTACGATCAGATTTGGGAGCATTTGGTGCCTCTTCCCTTTCTTTATCAGAAACTTCAACTTCGTCTTGTGTGACTTCTTCTTCTTCAGCAGATGAAGTTGGGAACACTATTTTTTTGGACTCCATATCCATCAGAATACCTCTGCAAAAACAGCACATATATTTTTTAAATTTTCGGAATAAAACAATTATATTTGTGCATTTTGCAAATACGCGCCTAGAGTACTAATTAAAAGGATTGTTTCATATAAATAAACTAAAAGAACTTCTTACCAGCTAAAATGAAACTCAAATGTTTGTAGAAATGCAAAGAAAGAATTTATTTATCAACTAATATGTTTATTCTTGATTGATTATGTTATATATATATAGAAAAATGAAAAAAAAAAATAGCAATAGTTTGATTTCAAAAATTGGTGTCCGTCCCAGTTCCCAATCCCACTACTGTTATTAATTAAATAAAATCTCATCCACAACAAAAGATTAATTTTTCAAGAAAATTAGTAAATGTAGCAGCCGTTCTCTTCATTGCTATTTTGTAATTTTCCATGCATAGAGATTGCAAAACTTTCAATGATTAGAGTTAGACATTGGGGCTTGAGCTCCTTGGCACGTCGGTCAAGTCCTTAATTATTTGGACATGGATGGCCCTTTTCGTTTTCAAGAAATATTTTTAACGGAGTATATAATACTTTGCAAGAATGAATAAAAATTGAAATACATACATACATACATTGTCATTTATTCAGCTAAAAGTTGTCACAGTGACAGAATATTCTATTTTAAGTAATTTGATTGATATAATTCGAACCATTTAACTTAACAAGGATGCATTTACTTAACAACTCGAATTTCAATAAAATAGCAATTGAATCAAAATGCAGATCAACTCAAATCTCTACATATGTGGGCTGTCAACTTTTCTAAGTTCGTATCCATTTGTGACCGAATATGATCTTAAAGGATAGTAGATTACAAGTACTTTGGAATTCCATTTTGGGGACTTAATTGTGTAAAAGAATAGAATGAGAAACGATTTGCTTTCAATTTCACTTTTAAATTATTTCATGAGAAAATAGATTTTTTATCATTTACCTTAAAAAATCTTATAACAATATTTTTATAGAATATTTTATTATTATTTACAGCTTTTACCTTAAAATTTAGAACACTTAGGGGCCGTTCTCTTTGTATTTCAATTTTGTATTTTGAGTTTTCAATTTCATTTTGAGTTTTGTGTTTTGAATGTTTATTTTGAAATTGTTGAAAATGTGTTCTTTTTGGTATTTTGAAAAATCATTTTCAAAAATTAAAAAGGGAAAACACGTTCTTTTTCCCCAAATCATTTCGCGTGTTTCTTCCCCCCTGTGTCGCGTCTCTCTTCCTTCTTCAAGTCCTCACCGTCGCGTCTCCCTCTCTTCTTCCCCTTCCCTCTCTGTGAACGCTGGTTGGGTGCGATTTTGACTACGGTGGTGGTTGGGTGCGACTCCTTTTCTCCCTTTTCTTTTTTATTTTACTTCTGGTTCTCTCTGTGAACGGTTGTTGGGTGCGAATTTGGCTGTGGTAGGGTGCGATTTTGGGTGCGAATTTGGCTATGGTGGTGGTGGTGCGATTTTTGGCTGCGGCAGTGGTTGGGTGCGACTCATTTTCTCCATTTTCTTTTTTATTTTGCTTCTGGTTCTCTCTGTGAACGGTGATTGGGTGCGAATTTGGCTGTGGNTTTTTGGCTGATAGAGAGATGTTTGGATGTGGTAGTGGTAGTGCAGTGGTGTTCATCGACGTTGGAGGAGAGAAACCGGTGAGATGAGCTAAGGAAGAGACAGATTGTGGAAGGGAGAATCAACAGTACTTCATTTCCCGTGTTTTCTATTTTGCCTTGATTTTGCTGGAAAACAGTCAAAACGGCTTAAAAGCCGTTTTGAGTTTTCAGTGTAAAAAAAAATTTCGTTTTCAAAAACGCATTTTCGAAAATAGTAAAGAAAACGCATTTTCCCCAATTTGGAAAATCGAAAACAGAAAATGGCCCGAAAACGGCAAAGAGAACGGCACCTTAACACTCGATGTTATAGCTATGTAGCAGTTTGCAAGTTTTGTCACGCCTACTTTATCAAAAATCGGCCGATAAAAAAACCATTTACAATAGGAATATTAGGTCGATTTGTAATGGGAAGGAGAGTCAATGCTACAATTAGACTCCATGAAGTCTAACGTAAGAATCTGGTGTCTAACGACAATAAATCAGAAATCAATTAAGTGGGGTAAAAATTCAAGAATATTTGGTCAATCCAACACAACAATCTGGTAATCTAACCAAAAGAACGGTCAAAACATTTCCCATGACACATTGTATCAATTTTATCTAAATCTACTAAAAATCTGATTTTTATATATACCAAATAGGGACTATATGTCTATCGAGGTTTCCCAAACTAACGTGTTTATGTATATAACATATTTCTCCAACTTTTAGATTCTATCTTTGGTGTTTTTTTTTGTAATTTCTTTCTATTTAACGGGCTTGGCTTGTTTTTGTAATTTTCCCCTAAACAAAGTCAGTCGATAGAGTTGAGTGGTAACTTAGATACCTTAACTGCAAATTCAATTTTAAACAAGACAATAACTCACCAACATTAAAAATTATACAATTTTTTCATTCTATCAATTAATTTCTAACATCAAAAGTAGTTTTATTCAATTTATCATGTGGTCAGACCACTATTAAAATATAGGAAAAATTCGTATATGCAAAATATTATTTCATGTTTTACTACGTAATGTTTAAAATACTAAAAATATTGTTTTGTATATGAAATATATTAAAAATTACTAATTTTCAATAATAGAACCCAAATGACTTTTTGTAACTAAAATATTTTGAATACTCCATTCTTCACTCCTATTTAATACATCTTCCTAAAAAGGAAAATCAATTCAAAAAAGTGCTAAAGATTCATAATGATACAAAACATGAGAATACAAATAAAACATAACTTTGTACACCTGTGTTTTGATTCGTTGAACTATGCTATTGGGATGTGGCCTTAGATCTTCAAAAATCATCCTATTTCTAGCTGTCCAGATATGATAAATAGTGCTTGCCAACTCAAATTTATTGGACTTACATTGCCAAGATGTTCCATGTCCTTCCTTCTTGATCCATCTCAAAGCACTTGGTATTGTAAACATGACTCTAGTGATCCCCAGCCAATCTTTTATCTGTCCCCAAATTTCCATGCCCACGCTACATTGAAAAAAAGGTTGCTGGCCTGATTCTGTTGCAGCTTGACAAAACATGCACTTGTTGCCGATCTCCATGTGTTGTAGTCGATCTTGGTAAGGAGCTTAGTTTTTGCAATGAGCCATAGGATTAAAGGAATGTTTTGGAGTAATGCATGAGCTCCAAACAACCTTTACCTAGATAGTTGGTGTTCACTTCGATCGAAAATAATAATAAGCTTTGGCAATACTTGTTGACCCCAAAAAACGTACCAATGATATGGCCAACAAATTCCAAGACCTCTCACGTCCACGCAAGCCGAAGTCATGCACACTTGGACGAACGGTTAGTCACACGTGGCCTTTTCTGGAGGGGATGGAGTTAGCCGTGCGCATTCGACGATCAAGTTAGTTGGAGAAATAGTTTAGAGTGTGGGAGAGTTTTGAACATAAGCCTCTAATAAATAAAAGGGGGTCGGCTTGGGAGTCAATAATCTAAAATGTGTATAGAAAGAATATAACTTTGAGAGTCTAAACTTGCATTACCTTCGAATGGTAATATGTGTGAGCTTTTATACTTGAACCAAATGAATGGAGTCCATTGGATGGTAGCGGACATGGCCTCATCCGAACAACTTCCCTTTCTCGTCATATACATCAATCCATCATTGCCTTAAATGCTATCATCATTTTGTGTCTGTAAAGCCTAGCATGTACTTTTAGACTTGACTGAACAAGATGGCGGTGGTGGCAATTGCAGTAAGTTGTCTTATCAACTTACGTTCTGTTGGATCCATTTGAGATCTTGCCATTGCCTCATCCAAGCTAGTTTTGTTAATGGGATATGCCCGTAATTGGGTCGCTCTATCACCCCCCCAATTCATATGGATAACAATATACTAACTAGTGTAAGAATACAATTGCTGACTTGACCTAGAGATCCAAATTCACCCACATATTTTTTTTTGTTACTAAAATAAAAGCATCTCCAAAAGTATATTCGAAACCAAGGATCATAAAACCATAATCCAACATATTTATCTCGAGGTTATAAAAGTATTTACATGACATTACAAAAGTCATATAGGATTCCTAAAATGTAATACAACTGGGGTCCACAAAATAACCTACGGGTCGTCATTTATGTACATCAAGCTTCGAAATCCTGTAAGAGCTCCATAGTCAGCCATGTCTTTTAGGAGGTACAATGGTCACCTACAATGCAAGAGCTACATAAGCTAATGATTAGTAAGCAAAAATCATGCAGGTCATGAGCATGAGTGATAATAGCATATGAGACCATCCCATTTACTTTAAACATCACGGTAAAGATGCATCATGCTCATATATTCGTCAAAGACGATTAGAAATAATTTTATTTGAAATCTTTCATTGGGCCCTTGACTTTCCTACTATGCACCTAATAGAGCTCTACACAATATCAATATCAATAATCAAATGGCCAATGTGACATCGACACCGACGAGTGGACTATCCTCTTGTGATCACTATAGGTCCATCCCCTAACTGCCCCTATGATCACCCAATAATTATCCCACTTGATAGCGCTAATAATCAAAGTATCCCAGACACAGTCGAGTGGTCCACCCTCCTGTGGTCACCAAAGACCCATCCCCTATCTACCTTTGCAATCAACCAGGAAATATCACCCGCGGTGCCAAAATATATTACATAAGCATGCTTCGGTACCCTAGTAGTGGTCAATCACATATTTTATGAGGAACTCAATTTTATAATCATGTTGTGCATACTAGATTTTCAATCATAACCAATGTTCTTGCATCGTAGTTGCAAATGAATTTTCACTTACCTTTTTACCCTGGTGTGTTCGTGTTCCTACGGAACGTAGATTAATTTCCTTTTTCACTTAAAGTCGAAAAATCACCTGTATCACC